ATCCATTTGGGAAAGGACTGTATTAGTTTAGCGGAAAATAATATTTATAGTATTCAATGCGATGCAAATGATACTCTGGAACGTTGTCAAGAAGATTTTATTTTTATTTTTGGTATCGAATTGATCGTCTGACCAAGGAGAGTGATAACACCAGTTTTTTTTTTTACTAAATTTGAAAATGAGGAAATATTTTGTGACAGATCAACGTCTACCGCGATGAATGATGAGGCTTGCTTTTATAAAATGCCTATTGAAAAAAAAACAACCCCCACCATACAGACACACACACACACAAACAGATTTAAGAGTCGATGGAACTCTTGGTAATTCTTGTTAGTTTAGAAACTAGGCAGAATATTCTTTTCTAGTTTTTGAAAGGCATGATTTCGCAATGTTACCTGAATTTTTTTTTTTTTAGATATTTTCCTTCACATTGATATTAGGAACTTATGACATACTTCTGTTGCGCGGGAAGTGATATCCGTTTAGCGTTAACTGAATAAATTAAGTAGTAATGTTTCGGAAACATAATGTAATTTTGAGACCTAAAGAAAATCGTATTATCTTTCATTTTCAGCATTAATTGTTCTCTATATGCACTGCTCAGTATCGTTGTTGCTTTTATCAAATAAAAACTAATTTTCTCGCACGAAGAACATCTGGAATTACTTGGAAAGTTTTCATATTGTTTCATTTGTAAATAATTTTCTTTTTTTAAATGTTGGTGCATGTTTTCTTTTCTATTTGGAATTGGCCATCTTGGTTGTTAAATGGCTGATAAGGTATCGGCTGATTAAAATTTTATTTTGGTCTTTCTTATCTTTATGCATTTCATACTGAAACTTGGTTTTTGATTTTTTTTTAAGCGTTTCACCCCAAGCAAGGCGGGAAGCCACTAGCACGCAAGGGGTTACAGAGAGATGGAGCGTGAGCAAAGAGGAGTGATAGAGGAAAGGATGAGGAAAGGATAGAGGAAAGGATAGGGGATAGATCAGGGCATCTGGAGACGTCGATTGACATTACATTTGAATAGTTGGAGATTATAGCTATCAGGGAAACAGGAAAAGGAAGGGAGTTCCACAGGCGAGAGGTGCGAGACATGAAGCTATTGGAGTAGAAGAGACGGCTACATTTAACAGTTTTAACAGTGAAAGGGTGAGAGCGAGATGCCAGGCTAGTTGAACGCTAAAATTCATGAAGTCTGGGAACCAGCGAAAGCAGCTCATCGGAGCAGTTACCGTGAAAGTATTTGTAAAAAAGACAGAGGGAGGCGACGGCACGTCTGTGAGAGAGCGACTGTAGACGAGAGGCCAGGTCAAGGCCAATTACGTTGCATATCCGTATCTGGATCTTATCAAGAACCTTGAGACAAACATAAGGGGTACCAGACCGTATATGGCAGCAATACTCCATGCAAGGGCGAATGGTTGATTTGTAGACTTGAAGGATCGACTCCGGCGAGAAAAAATTTCCTGGCGCGGCACAGGGAGCCAACTTTCCGTGAAGTGGATGAAGCTATTGACTCAATGTATTTGTTCCATTTCAGGTCAGCAGTCAAAGTGAGGCCGAGTAGTTGCATAGAGGAGCTCTCGAGAAATTGAGCGTCAGATATTCTAATGAGGGGCAGAGATGGTTTTGTTGATTGATTCGTTTTCTACGGCTTATTTAAAGCGAGAAAATATTTTTAGATTATAAGAATGTTCTTTTGAGATAAAAATGATTTAATGATAGAAGCCTTACTAATTAACTCGCAGCTTTCCCAAGGGTATTGGCGCGTTAGTGACTATAACGAAAATTGGAAATTGGCTCTCCGATAAACAATTCAATTATCCCCACACTCAAGCTTACAGCACTCCTACTCATACATACTGGCCAGTTTGATGTTGCTTAACTTCGGTGACCGTACGGTAACCCATGTTTCAACGTGTGTGGCCGTAAACCCAGTACTACTAACAATATTATTAATAGTATTATAAGTCATATGCGGAGTACTACTGCTCGTAGTAACAATTCTGTGGGTAGTAGTGCAAATTGTATTAGTAGCACTATTATCAGGTGTAGTAGTATTAATTGTTGTAATATTAGTACTATTATTATTACTATTATTATTTGTATTAGCTCTATTACTAATATTAATAGAAATAACACTAGCAGTAATAGTACTAATACTATTAGTTGTATTTTTCCTTTTTATTTTCTATTATTCTACTTACAAGTTTATTAAACAACTATGCATTCAAATTGTACTTAACTATGATGTTCGTAAGGGAACCAGAGATTCAACGTCATATGGCCGTAAGCCTTTTTGGTACGGGATTGTATGAAAACAAACTATAATAATAATACTTTTAATAATAACGGTATTAGCATTCATCGAATATCAATATATAACTCGGCATGAAATTATCTGCATTGGAAAATCTGTAACTTTTATGGGATGGATATTGCAAGAAATTAGTAAGAACATCATCCAGGCCCGGTTGCAAACCTTGCAAGGAGAGATGTAGATTCCGCTCCTGCCGTAGGGCACAGTTTCTTTAATTAGTTCAGCCGAGTATGCAGGACTGTAGACGAAATAAATATTGTTTAAAGTAAACAGGGCGTCTACACAAAAAAGGTTATCCACTAAAAATGACGTTTGAAGTAATAAATATCTGGGACCTGTACTAATTTTATGGGATATTGTGCTCAAAGACCACAAAAACACAATGTGTTTTCGTATTGACATAGTAATACGAAAACAGACTGTGATCAACTAAACTATCAAAATACAATGATCTTGAAATGGAAGTCTCAAAAATAGTAAATGAAGGCATCAATAATTGCAGTTTTGTTTGGATCCCTTGGTTTCATTGGAAATGGTTTTGATAGACTCATTGACAGGATTCCTCGTAGCCCATGGTCTAAAGAAATACAAAAAATGTTTCTCATACGCAAAACTTACACATTACAATGGGCTTTATCAATGAAAAATGTGTTTGCTCTTAGGTTGCTTTATTCTTATTTTATTTACAAAAAAATGCCATGATGCCATTTCCAATCTTAGGTCTTTGTTTGGGACCCGGAAGAAAATGAAATTAGAAAAAAAACTGGGAGGAAAAGGCATTGCATGGCAGATGACTAAAAAAGAACCTAAGAAGCAGATATGGACCAACAGAAAACACATCAGGAGCTGAGGAGAAACGTGTTGAAAGCTGAGACAGAAGGCCTATTTATTGCAGCTCAGGATCGAAGCCTCGCAACCAGATCCTATCGCTGTCACGTAATCAAGGATGGAACTAACCCGAAATGCAGGATCTGCGAAAAATAGGGTCAAACTGTCTACCATATTATCACAGGATGTTCAGAACTAGCAAAAAAATGAATATACCTACAAACATAACAATATAGTGACATGTGTGCGCTGGAAGATATGCAAGAAGCACAACATCGAAACCACTGAGAGATGGTATGAACACCAACCAGTTACCCAAAATATCGATGTAACTATCCTGTGGAACATACCAATTCAAATTGACAGGGAAATAAAAGCCAACAGACTTGATAATATCATAAAAAGGAAATAATAATAATAATAATAATAATAATAATAATAATAATAAGAAGAAGAAGAAGAAGAAGAAGAAGAAAGATTTAGAAAGCAATAGCATTGGTAAAATCATACAGAATATTCTGGGAATGCCAGAAATTTAAACTAATATGTTGTTTTTAGATTCGTCCTGTTTACTTGTCTTCACGGATCTGGCAGCCAGATTGTACGTGTTGGGTGTTACAATAAAGGAGAAAGCGCTTAGTCTCATTGGGGTCTTTACGCCCAATGACAGTCGGGAGGCGGGAAGCCTTTTTTCGTTGTGTCGATCAGTTCGTGACATCGTCGAAACGGGTACTTCTAGCGGGCGGTTGAAACGCCGTTCTTGATCCCAATTTAGACGCCGGAGAAATTAGGAAAGATGCTAACATTGCTATGATTTGATCCCGAGAGATGGTCACCAGATATGCCTTTTGTGAAAAACAAATAATTATGCCATTGATCTGAAGTCGAATTCGTCTTCCATTATATCAAGAAGATTCTTCATTACTGTAGTTTTAATCTACAATCTTTATTGAATTTGTTCCTGATCTTCTTTAGAGGGGTTAGATTATTTTGTTGTCTGTATATTTTGAAAGCTATCTCCTTTACGTCATAGAATTTGATTAGCTTTGTTTAATTTTGTTTCTTTTTCTCTTATTTCACTAGTAGTCGCATATTGGAAAAGATTTGTATAAGGCGATATCTCCGAAAAGAACACAGTAGAATTTGATTTTTTTTATTCTTTCCAGATATTATTCAGGCAACACACTTCATTTGCCAAGGACCAGAACTTGCCTGTTGAGCTTCGTATTTTTAACGATAGAGTTAACTTCCTCGGAGACAGATTATATAAAATTCTATTTGTTACTCGTTTTATTAGCAAATTGCCCTAAATTTTATTTTTTTGCCTTTTCTCTTTTTTTCTCAAATCTTTTAAAATTTCCCAATATTCTTGTGGATTGACGTTCTATCCTCGCAAAGTTTTTTTTTTTTTTTTTTTTTTAGCTCAATCTCCTTTATAAATTTTTATGCGTTTTTCATTTTTTTTTCTCCGTTTCTTCCATTTTCTTTTATTTTTTGCGTCTCTTCTTTCTCCTTTCCCGCCCACTTTTAATGCATTTATCAGCGTGGAAGAAATTATGCTACCATAATTTCAGTTCTCGGGACATTTATTGAAAATAAAATCAGAGTAGACTTTCTTCTTCCAATATTTTTTGTGGCCATGAGAAGCTAGCATTTTTGTTTTGATGTTTTTAACTTATGTCATCGAGAACGAGGAAAAGGAGGGGGGAATTACGTGCCTTCGTAGCCAGCTGACTGTCATTGAAGTATATTATTTTCATGTTTAAGCTGACATTTAATGTCAGCTCACGAAGCTATTGGAAGATGCTCTTAAAGAATTATAAAAGTTTTCAATAGAAGAGAAGATTCAATAGATGATAAAGAAGACGATAAAGACATGGCAAGGATATGAAAAATACTGAAGGAGGAGGGGGAGGCGGAGAAGAAGAAGAAGAAGAAGAAAAAGAAGAAGGAGAAAGAGAAAATAGAAGAAGAAAGGAGCAGAGAAGAAGGAAAGAAGTAGAAAAGAATAAGAAATAGAGAAGAAGAAGAAGAAGAAGAAAAAATAAGAAGAAAAAGAAGAGAATAATGAGAAAAAAGAAAAAGAGAAGAAGCAGGAGAAAAAGAAGAATGAAAAAAGAAGAAGAGAATAGGAAGATGAAAAGAAGAAGAGGATGAGGAAAAAGAAGAAGAAAAAGAGAAGAAAAAGAGAATAAAACGAAAGAAGAAAGAGAAGACGAAAGTAGAAGAGAAGAAAAACAGATGAAAAGAAGACGAAAGAAGAAGACATGAAGAAGATAAGTAAAAGAAAATAAAAAAAACGAAAGAAGAGAAGAAAAAGAGAAGAAAAAGAAGTCGAAAGAAGAAGAAGGAGAAGAAAAGAAGATGAGTAGTAAAAGAGAAGAAAAAGAACAAGAAGAAAAAGAGAAGTAAAAAAGAAGAGAAAGAAACGAAAGAAGGAGAGTAGAAAAAGAACTCGAAAGAAGAAGAAGAAGAAGAAGAAGAAGAAAAAGAACTCGAAAGAAGAAGAAGAAGAAAAGAACTCGAAAGAAGAAGAAGAAGAAGAAGAAAAAACCTGAAAGAAGAAGAAAAGAAGAAGAAGAAGAAGAAGAAGAAGAAGAAGAAGAAGAAGAAGAAGAACAAC